TGGGACACTTGAGCTTGGTGGGGAGAGGGGCGTCTGCCATTGCTGAGGCTTGAGTAGGCTGTTTTAGCCTCACAGTGTAAACAAAGCCGCTGGGAAGTTTAAACTGGGCAGAGCCCTCCACAGCCCAGCAAGGCTGCTGTGCCCAGACTGCCTCTCTAGATTCCTCCTCTCTGGGAAGGGCATCTCTGAAAAAAAAGCAGCAGCCCCAGTCAGGGTCTTACAGATAAAACCCCCATCTCCCTGGGACAGAGCACATGGGGAAGGGGTGGATGTGTGGGCAGTGTCAGCAGACTTAAATGTCCCTGCCTGATAGCTCTGAAGAGAGCAGTTGATCTCCCAGCACAGCGTTCGAACTCTGCTAAGGGTCAGACTATCTCCTCAAGTGGGTCCCTGAACCCCGTGTCTCCTGACTGGGAGACTCCTCCCAGTAGGGGCCAACAGACACCTCATACAGCTCTGGCTGGCATATGATGGGTGCTCCTCTGGGACGAAGCTTCCAGAGGAAGGAACAGGCAGCAATCTTTGCTGTTCTGCAGCCTCTGCTGGTGATACCCAGACAAACAGGGTCTGGCATGGACCTCCAGTAAACTCCAGCAGACCTGGAGCAGAGAAGCCTGACTGTCAGAAGGAAAACTAATGAGCAGAAGGGAATAGCATCAACATCAACAAAAATGACGTCCACTCAGAGACCCCCATGTGAAGGTCACCAATATCAAAGACCAAAGGTAAATAAATCCATGAAGATGGAGAGAAACCAGCACAAACTGTCTGAAATTCAAAAAACCAGAACACCTCTTCTCCTCGAAAGGATCACAACTCCTTGCCAGTAAGGCAACAAAACTCAACAGAGAATGAGTTTTACGAATTGACAGAAGTAGGCTTCAGAAGGTGGGTAATAACAAACTCCTCTGAGCTAAAGGGATACGTTATAACCCAATGCAAGGAAGCTAAGAACCTTGAAAACAGGTTAGGTGAATTGCTAAATAGAATAACCAGTTTAGAGAAGAACAAAACGACCTGATGGAGCTGAAAAACACAGAATGAGAACTTTGTGAAGCATACACAAGTATCAACAGCCAAATCAATCAAGCAGAAGAAAGGATATCAGAGATTGAAGATCAACCTAATGAAATAAAGTGAGAAGACAAAATTAGAGAAAAAAGAATGAAAAGGAACAAACAAAGCCTCCAAGAAATATGGGACTATGTGAAAAGACCAAATCTACGTTTGATTGGAGTACCTGAAAGTGACGGGAAGAATTGAACCAAGTTGGAAAACTCTTCAGAATATTATCTAGGAGAACTTCCACAACCCAGCAAGACAGGCCAACATTCGAGGAAATACTGAGAACACCACAAAGATCCTCCTCGAGAAGAGCAACTCCAAGACACATAATCATGAGATTCACCAAGGTTGAAATGAAGGAAAAAATATTAAGGGCAGCCAGAAAGAAAGGTTGGGTTATGTACAAAGAACAGCCCATCAGACTAACTGCAGATCTCTCTGCAGAAACCCTACAAGCCAGAAGAGAGTGGGGTCCAATATTCAACACTCTTAAAGAAAAGAATTTTCAACCCAGAATTTCATATCCAGCCAAACTAAGTTTCATAAGTGAAGGAGAAATAAAATGCTTTACAGATAAGCAAATGCTTAGAGATTTTGTCACCACGAGGCCTGCCTTACAAGAGACCCTGAAGGAAGCACTAAACACGGAAAGGAACAACCAGTACCAGCCATTGCAAAAACATGTGTTGACATAGGACAAGACTTCGTGACTAAAACACCAAAAGCAATGGTAACAAAAGCCAAAATTGACAACTGGGATCTAATTAAACTAAAGAGCTTATGCACAGCAAAAGAAGCTATCATCAGAGCGAACAGGCAACCTACAGAATGGGAGAAAAATTTTGCAATCTATCCGTCTGACAAAGGTCTAATATCCAGAATCTACAAGGAACTTAAAGAAATTTACAAGAAGAAAAAAACACCCCATCAAAAAGTGGGCAAAGGATATGAACAGACACTTCTCAAAAGAAGATATTTACACAGCCAACAGACACATGAAAAAGTGCTCATCATCACTGGTCATTAGAGAAATGCAAATCAAAACCACAATGAGATACCATCTTATGCCAGTTAGAATGGTGATCATTAAAAGGTCAGGATACAACAGATGCTGGAGAGGATATGGAGAAATAGTTATGTTTTTACACTGTTGGTGGGAGTGTAAATTAGTTCAACCATTGTGGAAGACAGTGTGGCGATTCCTCAAGGATCTAGAACTAGAAATACCATTTGACCCAGCGATCCCATTACTGGGTATATACCCAAAGGATTATAAATCATGCTACTATAAAGACACATGCACACATATGTTTATTGCGACACTATTCACAATGGCAAAGACTTGGAACCAACCCAAATGCCCATCAATGATAGACTGGATTAAGAAAACCTGGCACATATACACCATGGAATAATACGGAGCCATAAAAAAGGATGAGTTCATGTCCTTTGCAATGACATGGATTAAGCTGGAAACCATCATTCTCAGCAAACTATCACAAGGAAAGAAAAGCAAACACTGCATGTTCTCGCTCATAGGTAGGAGCTGAACAACAAGAACACATGGACACAGGGCGGCGAACATCACACACTGGGGCCTTTTGGGGGCTGGGACTCTGGGGGAGGGATAGCATTAGGAGAAATACCCAATGTAAATGACAAGTTGATGGGTACAGCCAACCAACATGGCACAAATATACCTATGTAACAAACCTGCATGTTGTGCACATGTACCCTAGAACTTAAAGTGTAATAAAAAAAAGGACCAGAAATTTAAAAAAAGAGAGAGAAATACTTCTATTTGTATGCAGTGCTTGGAAAAAAAAAACTTTTAGGAAATTATAGCAATAACAAATTGAAAAGAGATAATCTGGAAAAAATGCAGTGGAACATACCTCTCTGGTGGGAGAGTTAACTTGTAAGCCGTTTTAGAAAGTAATTTAAAAACATGACAATAATCTAAAAAATATTCATTTTCTTCATTGTAATAATTTTCTGTAGAGAATCTGTCTTTAGGAAAACTCTAAATGCATATAATAATTATTTACAAAGGTATTTGGAAAGTTATGTATACTACCCCAAAATGGAAAACCAAATGTCTCATCTTTAAGGGAAAGGCTTAATGACCCTCATGGAATATTATGCAGCAAATAAGTGGTGTTTATGAATATAATCTCTAATGATCATTGAATAGTAATAATTAAAAAGAATCAAGATATCATTGCCACTTAGCAAAAATCTGAACAGTGCAAATGTTGGGAAAAAACCCACTGAGATATTGATAATGCATATCTTTGCTTGATAAGCTAAGTAGTGATTTTCTCTTTTCATTCTATTTTTATAAATTTTCCAAAATATGCCTTAGTTGATTAAAAGTCTTTCCAACCCACCATTTTCTGTAAATTTTTAAAAATTCCTCTTAGCTTTGAAGTTCAAGGACCCAGGTTCAGTCACTTATACTTCACAATGAGAAAGCAGCAATAACCTCCTGACTGGTTTTGCAGCCACTATTGGATTCCTTTTCTTATATTAATTGTTCACATTTACCCAGTTCTTGCTGTGTCTGATGCATTATATAAAGCATTTTATATACATTAGCCAATGCATTCTAGTGATATCCCCACTTTACAGATAAGGAAATTCATACTTAGAGACATTAAGTAGCTTGCTCAAGCTCACTCAGAGATTAAATGGAAGAGTTTCAAAGCCAGATTTGTTTGAGGCTGGAACACAAACTCTTAACTATCTTTCACAATGTCTATCAACATACTTCTCCAAATTATTCTTGTGGATAAGCAGCCTAATTAACAGAATGTTAATAGACTAGAATGTCCAGTATATGGACTTCCATTTTCATAATATTACCTCCTCAAAAGCCTTAAAAGTTCCTTGTTTGCTAATAAATAACCTACAAATGAATTCTGGCATTCCAAATCTTTTGTTTTCTAGTCCTGACTTCTCTTTCCAACTTGATTTCCTGCTACACTCTAGACCACTCTCTCTTTCTTCTATCCGTCCATCCATCTGTTCAGCTGTCATTGATCTCTCCAAGGAATGGCATAAATGTATTTGAGGAAGTGACTACAATACATCCATCTGGCATTAAAAAGCAGAAAAGAAAGAATTTCTGATATAGATAGTCAGAGGGCTGTTGTATTTTAAAAATAATTTTAAACACTCCTTCAGAGGGCATTCTAGGGGGAAAAAAGCCCTTCAGTTGTTTGAGTTCTCGCTGAATTTAAACTGAATGTCTACTTATTATAGTCCAACAAGATAAAGAAAAAAGGCCTTTTGAAGTCAAAGCAATACGTTTTTTTTACCTGTGGGGAGGCCCACTCCCTAGATCTGGGAAAGTTTCCTAGATTTCAGCCATACATTTCCTGTGTTTTACATTATCTAGAGCACATGACATCTGCAACTGTGGCAGGAATGACAGAGTAGTTCAATTGGGCAATGAAATGGAGAACTTGGAAAACTTGATCATTTGACCTGCATCCAGAATTAATATTGCCAATTCCATGTTATGTACTGAGACTCAATCAGCATTCTTCTGGACTTGTTACTTACAAGTGTGGTCTAAGAACCAACTGTATCAGCATTACCAGTAAATTTGTTAAAAGTATGGAATATCCAGCCTCACCTCAGACCTAATGAAACAGAATCCACAGCTTAACAAAATCGCCAGGTGATTTGCATACGTATTACGTTTTAGAAGCCCTGACCTGGAGCACGTTCCATTAACGTTCCATTATTATAACAACCTTCTGAACACAAGAGGGCAATATTTCCTATTCCCTCAGAGCCTTTCTCAGATTTGAAATGAAGTTCACTGTATAGCTGGATTAGGCCAGTTTGTGTAAGGGGCTGAACAGGCTTGTCATTGATTGGCTGGATAGGAAGGCCAGAACTTCCTTTTAGGGACAGAAGAACCCCAGTAAAACCTACCAAACTAAACAGAATGGCTTTTTGGCTGAGAAGCCTGGGTCTACATTTCAGGCCACATCTGGGGAGACGAATGGAGCCATTCCTGGGAGGTGTTTTGCTGATTTTGTGGCTTCAAGTGGATTGTGAGTTGGAAATTTCCTGATGATGGGGACAGAGAGATCCAGGGCTGCAGTGCACAGAATGAAGGAGAAGGGCTTTCTCATCTTTGGTTATATCTGGGATTGTGGGAAGAAAATAGACTCAAGAGTGTCAGTATAGTGACTAATCCTCCTACTTTTGGTTTTGTGTTTCTGCCTAGGGGTGAAGAGCCAAAAGATAGAACAGAATTCCGAGACCCTGAACATTCAGGAGGGCAAAACGGCCACCCTGACCTGCAACTATACAAACTATTCTCCATCATACTTACAGTGGTACCGACAAGATCCAGGAAGAAGCCCTGTTTTCTTGCTACTCATACGTGAAAATGAGAAAGAAAAATGGAAAGAAAGACTGAAGGTCACCTTTGATACCACTCTTAAAAAGAGTTTGTTTCATATCACAGCCTCCCAGCCTGCAGACTCAGCTACCTACCTCTGTGCTCTAGACACACAGTGGTGCCCTGGCAGCTGCTTCCTGCACCCAAACTCTGCTCACTCTTACAATCAGAGCTCATGGCTGTGCTGTCTCTTAAAGGCTGATCACGGCTCCTGACAGAATGGGGGGCGTTACTGGAAAGGGCATTTTTCAAAACAAACAAATGCTCTGAAGAATTCCTCAGAGAAAGGAGGGAGGATTTGCTTTTAAAAATTACATTAATTTTCAACAGCTCAGGACCAGAGATGAGGACAGACCTAATAAATGATTAAATGTAAGAGAATTTAGAATGGAGTAAATAATTTTCTCTCACAGGAGTTGGAATGCCTTTCCCTTTGTGATAAATGGGGGGCATAAATTACAATTGACAGTACAGCATTCAAAAATATGGGCATGGGAGTGCAACATGTGGGTAGAAAATCCTGACCCAGTCAATGACTGGGCTGTGATGTCTTGGGGAAGTGTTTCTAGATCTCTGAGTACCAAATTCCTCATCTGTGAAATGCTAGTAATAGAAGTACCTCATAGGATTATTGTTAAGAATACATAAAATTATAAAAAAATATATAATGCAACTACTGTGGTAGTGGCAGGTACACCAGTGCACTAGAAATTCAACAGACACTTGTTTATAATTGGTTCCTTCATTTCTTTCAGGAAGTTAAAACTCACATTTTCTGCTCTGAGCATTAAATATCTCTTTTTCATGTTCTATTTCAATAATCTTTTTACTAATCACCTCAAAATCTATTTGAAATAAGTTGGTATGTAAATATGTAAATGATCTGTATTTCACAAACTGGAGACATTAACAAATATTACTGAGTGCCTGCTATGTGCCAGACACTGTTATATACAACAGGGATGCATCAATGAATAAAATAGACAAAAGATTTTGCTCTCCTGGAGCTTATATTTTATTGAAAAATCAGAGTGAACAAAAAATGTGATAAATAATATAGTATGTTAGAAGACAGTTAGTACTATGGGAAAAGTAGACTAGGGTAATGGAGATGGGAAATGTGGAGGTGGAGCTGTCTCCAGTTGGAATTTTAAATGTGGGGAGGGAGTCATGGTAGTTCTTATTGAATAAGTATGTGAAGGAAGTCGGGGAGGAAGTAATGCAGTTATCTAGGAAAGCATAAACCACCTTGGCACAATTACGACGGTAAGAGAAATCTGACTCCATCTTGCTTCTAACCTCCATGTCCTGTTCATTCCTGGGTGTAGGCCAAGCTGACTTTGGGGAGAAATTTAGTTTATAGTTTAACCTTAAAGCGAAGATGATAATGGCCCTTCCCCAAACAACCCCTTCCTTGGTTGGGGGACCAAAACCGCCTTTGTAAAACTAACAAATTAGCCGTAAGATTAGAAATTATGACTCAGGAGTTACGCAGACAGAGGTCACAACATTAGTAACCTCCCCACTTGCTCCTATAGATATCAATTCTATCATAGGACCTAAGATTGGTGTTCAAGGTATTTTTCAGACTTTAAATCCTGCTGGACCAGCTGGTGCCACCTGGACTGGTAAACTGGCTCAACTGGTTTTGTGATCCCATCCAGGAACTGACTCAGTACAAGAAGATATCTTCGACCCCCTGTGATGTCATCCCCAACCCAACCAATCAGCGTTTGTCAATCCCTAGCCCCCTGCCCACCAAATTATCCTTAAAAATCCAAATTTTTGGGTCTCCACATTTTTGAGTGCTGTGGGTGGGGGTCTGGATTCTTGATTTTGGGCTTTGAGTCTAATCCTGATGACTTTTGGTTTGGTAAAAAATCTTAGTTTAGAGCCAGCTCTTTTACATGGTTTAATAAAATAATCTATGCATTAGTAATAATTATTATTAATTATTTATATATTATTAATAAATAATAATTATTAATTATTTATATATTATTAATGCATAGATTAATATCAGTGTACTTCTCTGTATGGAAAAGAAGCCTGATCTCTTTAGGGTACTGTTTTAACTCAACCATGGGTCCTTGTTACTGGAAAGATTTCTTTCTTTTCTTTGATACACCATAATTTTTTCATTGTTTTCATAAGCACCATTGCAGAGGAAACAGATATTTTTGTTTTTTAGGAAAGCTGATCCAAAATTTAGAGATTATGAGTTTATTGGAGGTCTCTGATTAAAATATGATTACCATACAAAATATTTTTTAAGGCAAAACAATCTTTCATTTTATTTGTTTGCACAGGTGACACAATTGTTCACATGGAACCACAAGGATTTATGAAAATTCTGGCATGTCTTGTCAGTTGTTCCAACTGAAAAATATCCTATGCATGGAAATGTGCTTCTACCTCAGAGTCTAAAACTTAAGCTAAGAATCTTGAGCATGCTGTGGTAAAATAGAAAGAATAACTACATTTAAGTAAATATCGAGCAACTGTTTGCTTTCCTTATTTTCCTCCCGACTCTTCTGGTTTTAATAAATAAGATTTTCTAGTCATTTAAATTGAACTATTTAGTTGATTTAAGTTGAACCAACCCAAGAAACAGGAAATTAGTTAAGTCACCACTTGAGCAAAAGAGAAAGACGAGAATTAAGTTAGATTGACAAGTGTGAGAAGAAAAAAGAGAAATAAAAATTCTGTTGATCGTTTTAACCTCCTAAAATATCTCCTATTTGTCTGTTTTCCACTGTCACCACCACCTGGAGGAATGCAGTAGCCTCCTAATTGTTATGTTTATATCTACTTTAGCGTTTGCATTTCTGATCTATTTAATACGTTAGCTTGCCAAGATACTTAAAATAATGTGAATTTAATCTTATCATCTCCCTGCTTAAAAGACTCTTAACCCTTCCTATTGTGTTTAACAAAGACCGAAATCCTTACCAACACCCACTCCATGGTTTGCTCCCTATTTCTTCTCTTGTTAATTTTCACAGCAATGCCCTTTTCATTCTTTTTTGCTTCCACCCCATAGGTGAATTTTTATTTCCTTGAAAGTGCCAGATATTCCTTGCCTTGGAGTCTTCCAAGATACCATTTTCCCTGCCTGGAATTTTCCCTCTTTCTTTTCCTGAGATCCCAATTCAATTGTCACTTGGAAAAACCTTCTTTGACACTTCACCCAGTTTTCAAGTAGATAAAATTTCTTTATATAAGTTCTCAAAACACCTTCCTATTAGTTATTATTAGATGAGTTTGTGTTCCATGAAAGCAGGAGCTATGTTTATTGTTATCTCAGCATTCTATTACCAGAAAACTATGACCTATGGCTCATCTAGACAATGGAGTCACTGTGTCTAAAACTAATACTAAGATAAAGATGGTGGAAGGTTGGGAATGTTCTTTTTATAAATAAAGACCTGTTTTTGGTCTCCACCATTGGACTTCTCCAATTTTGTTTTCATAGCTCTTCATAGTGCCAGACTGTACTACTTTTTGAGGAGACGGTTTCCATGTCTAATGAGCTCCCCTGTGAAATGGGTTTCTTTCCCTGTATTCTAAGCTGGTCTTCCTAAAGTTCTGTAGGGAGGCTGTGTCTAACCATCATGAAATTTTATGAGCCTGGTCCATCCTGTACTTCTCATGATTTTACAGGTTCCTGTCCCAGCTGGTCTGTCTTTTTTATTATAGATGTGAGTGTCTTGATGTAGAAATCTCTCTTCTCTGCTGTATGCTTCCTATCCAGCAACTTTTATTTTTATTAACTGGATTGTATCTCACTATGTTGTTGTTTTCTAAATCTGTTAGGAGATGAGACATTCTGCTTCAGTTGGATGTTGTGTATTCTGTATTGTAATACAATAAAAAAGTATGAAACTTTATTATAATATATAATATTATTCTAGACTACATGCATCTATCAACAAATAATTGTTGGGCATAGCCTGTGCACCAGGCATCTCACTACATGCTGTGTAAAATACAGCTCCTGCCTTGAAACCTTTACTGGTTGCACATCAGAAACTCTTCTTGCTCCTAAAATGACAAATCAAATAAATAAAAATAAAACAAACCTCTTTTTTTGTATTTCTCTCTTCACATTGCTATGTATTTGTTTCAAAGAATGAAAATTGGTTTCTATCTGAAACTAGGAATTATTAACATTTGTTTAGTATTAACTACATGTCAAGTATGGGGTTACAATTTTTACAAAGCATTGTTACTTAATTTTCACAGCAATATCTGAGAAGATTTCTTTATTACGATGATGAAACTATTACTGGCACTATATAAAATATTCATAATGAGGGCCACTGACATAGCCTGCACAAAAGTTAGATTTGAACCATGTCCACCAGATGCCCAACACCAGTATTTAAGCACTATTTACTGCTACTAGCCTAGAGATCTCTGTTTTCTGATGGTGCAGCTTGGTCATGTATCATTCCTATATTAAGGTATTCATTTGAGGAAAAGAAACAAAGTGGAAGCTTAATAGTAAGTAAGCAAATAATTCACAGCTGCCAGTACCTCAGCACATTGAAGCCAGTCAATCAGTGAAAATATTCTTTGATATTGAGTTATATAACTACTGAAGATTCCTGCGTAAACAGATGTTGCCGTGTAGGCACTCCAGCCATAGCCTGGATTTTAGCAGACCATGGAGATACCTGCAACAATAGATCATGGAGACACCTGTTATGTATTTGATAGGCATATTTTCCAAATTAGAAAATGGAACATATGATGTGATAATTGTAAGGAAACACAATAGACATATGCAGGTCTCTATCTACAGGTAGGTCTTTTCCAGCATGTATTTGTATTTTTAACAAACAATGTTTTGTTGCCACTGCTGGCATCAATATAAGCAACTGGGCAGATGTTGGCAGTGAGTGGGAGAAGGGTAAGGTTATCAGATTCTTCTCGGTTGGTTATTAGAAATGAATGCACTAGTCTGAGCAGCTTTACTTTCTTATCATGAGCTGAAAATTTCTCACCTTAGGAACTGACTAGAGTATCTACAAGATTCAGAAGCCTGAAGGTACATAACTATTAGTTCGCGGCAGCCTTCAACGCCCATCATAAATAGCATTTGTCATGAATTTTACCTACGTGTATTTCCAAGTGTCATTGTTACTCAAATAAGGAAGAGTTAATAAAAAAAGCTTTGACAAATAGCACTCAAACAATTCGGTATACTTACGTATAGAAAAATAAACCATTACCTTTATCTTACATTGTACACCAAAATAAAGTCAAAATGGGTTATAGATCTAAAGGTAAAGGAAAAGCTGTAGACTTAGGAGAAAACATTAGAGAAGTTCTTCACAACTTTTGGGTAATAAAAATTTCATAGGACATCGAAATCATAAACCATAATAAGGAAAAAATCATGCCTCGGACTTTATCAAAATTAAAAACTTCTCTTTCAT